ATTCCTCTGTTCTCCTTAAAAACTTTGCTAACGAGAGTAGAATTTACATATTCCTAGGTTATATACAATTACTATTTTTTTTTTGGGGGAAGGAGGGTCCTCCCCTTCTTCGTCTTTAAGGCTATTTGCGGTTTTTTATTATATTTTTATCCAGTTATCAATTGTCAGGTTGCCGGGCAATGGCGGGTGCTATGCACACACGTTAGCAGTTTGGCCCTATACAATTACCTATTCGCCGTCCTGTTCCATTCTTCCACGTGTCTTTTAATTTTAAAATTTTCATTTTGAAAATTCGCCCTTATACTGAAAAAGTGCCCCCTTATAAATGTTGATGGCGCAAGTTGCCCCATGAAACCTTCTGAGCACCACTGTATTGAAAAACTCAAAACTAAAAAAAGTGTCGTTTTTTTTTTTTTGTAATCGTAATTTATTTTAAAATAACATGTTTATTTAATGATGTTCAAATACATTTTTCTTTTCTTCGTAACTCTTTTTCTGACTTTTTTGGTGATATGAATATTTTTTGTCTGTGAAGGAGAAGAAAATCTATTAAATGATGGTTTAATCATTAGATTTGGAGAAAAAAAAAATGAAACCTTTGATATAATCAGAGATAATGATTACTGATAATTAATTTGGTGTTTCTTGTGATTTGAGTTGTTAATTTTTAATTTGTACAGTTAACTTCTTTTTCTCATCTTCTGTTGTTAATTTTGTTCTGATGTGTGTATACGTAGAATTTAATTTTTTTTTTATGTATGTATTTTTTTAAATTATTATTCATTCGATGGAATTCCCTTAAATTGTCTTTGCGTATCGACCGAAGGAAGAGGTCGATAAACTCAGTGGGTAAGTGGGTTAGGGGGGATATCGCACAACCGTTGAATAAATCTTGGCGGGAAGAAAAGCGGAAATGTCAGAGAATGCGGGACCGGATGACACAGCCTTCATTGAGATTCTGAACGTGTCGCCAGCAATTGGCCAATAGGATATTACGTGTAAGATAATTGAGACATTTAAGACATTACTAGCATCTGTCCTTACTATTGTTGCATTGAAGATTTCCAGAGTATTTCAGCTAAAACAATAATTTAAATTTTCGTGACATGTATGTGATATATTGGGACATATTTTTGAAATACATAATATGTATAAATATAAAGTATTGTTGCTATACTAAAACAATGAAATTATTACATTTTGTGATATATTCAAATCATATTTAAAAATGAAGTTTGGATAGGTTTTGAAAAAAACCTGCAAATAATTATAGATTGTTTTGTTATTTCCAAACAGTTAAATATCAAATGTCAAGCTACTTCCTTTAACACTTGGGGGAAATAAACATAAAATGTTTTCTAATATCAGCCTACACAACTATTATTCCATTTTTTTATTTTTTATTTTTGAAATATTGACAATAATCTCGATCGTTTCAGTTTATATAAAGTTTTCTAATATCAAAAACCAAAACAAAGATTTTGGGCTTTTGAGCAGAACATGACTAAACGTTTAGAACGCTACATCTTTGCACCAAATCCACCAATTTCAATTATTCCTTTTTGTTTGTTTGAGGATTTCGTATATCTTCAAATGAGCTTATAAAAGATCCAAGTGTGTAATTTTTGATTTATTCGTTAATCTAATTTTGCATTTATATGACATGAATGTAATATATTGTATAAATGTACACACAGCATTAAAACCAAATACCTTTGATTTTTGCAGATGGTAATATTTTTAATTGTTTTTTTTTTCTATAAAAATTCGTCGTAACTTATTTTCATTCTTCTTTTCAGAGATGTACGTTATGAACATAAATTTAAAGGTCTTCGAGAAGAAAATTTAGATCAAGTTTTATTAAAATTGTTAATTCTGTTTATGCGCTACAATATTTTCCGACAGAAGTTTTTCCTCCGCCTTCTGGAACAGAAAGAGTGGATGGTAATCCCGTCTAGGGATGATCATAGTCGGGTCAGCTGTAGCCCTGTCTTATTTATATTTGGACGGAGGATGGGAGATGGAGATCAAGCAGTATGTTGAGTTTTGTTGGTCACTTGCTGTCTCAGTGTCAGTTTCGAAGATTTAAAAAAAAAATATGGTAGTTCGAGTCGTTTGTTTAGTTCCTTTTTTTATTATGGGTGGTTCTTTTTTTATTGTTCATCGGGTCCATGCCATCCTTCTGTCAAAGATAAGTCCAAGATAATACCGTGTTCATTGAAGAAATTTTATTGTTGTCAATATAAACTGGAGGGAAGGTGTTTTTTCGAAGAGTAAATGTTATACTTTTGGATTTGTCTTGATGAAGTTGAATTTTCACAGTTTGAACCAATCTTATAATTTGAGTTAATGATGTAGGGTTATTTTAAGCCTGTATAAGGTCTTGTTGTTTTGTGGGAATTGTTATATCGTAACTGTACATGATTTAAAGTAGAGGGGCATGTGAAATTACTTAACCAAAAAAATCAGATATTAGAAATGAGATCAATATGCTCTTGAAAATATCAGCAAGAGGAAGTATGAATGTTTTTTTTTTTTTTGTTCTTGTAGCCTGAGGACAATGAGTTCAAAGAATAAAAAATCATCTAGAAAATTTCTGTCGGTTATAATTGTAAATATATTCCATTACTCAACGACCCAGTAATAAAAATAGCTTTATTATCGTTGCCATTAGTCAAACAGTCAACATTCCTGAGTTATGAGATGGGGCTCTTAAAATACATATTCTAGCTGGTTTAGCATTTATGTTTCTCTTGAAGGAAAAATTTTTATTTTGAGGAAATAACATTTTAATGGAACCTTTGTAATTATCTGAAGTTTATTTTAAACAACGTTGTGGGAAAAAAAGTTAAATGAAAAATTCAATATCACAGCTATAGCTAAATTTATATATAGGCACTATAAACTACTGTAAAATTGTTAACTATTTGAAGGTAAAGGCGTCCAAAAATAAGTTATTCATTAATAAAGTACGGAAAAGAAATTTATAGCCATGAGAATTATGTTTTTTTAATTATTTATTTTTATTATTTATACATTTATTAAAATTAGTATGGAAACGTGACAGCGAAACATAATGAATATTCTCGCGGTGAAACCGTTGAATTTTGTTGCGTTTCCTTGAAAGATCTTTACCTTCTGAGTAATATCTCATTATAGTCAATTTGTAGAGGGATGTTGAGAATCTCAATGAAGGATGTGTCACATAGCTCACAATGCTCTGACATTTCCGTTCTTCATCCCACTTTTCCTTGTAAATATTTCTCTGATGACTAAGTTTTTCTTTTTTTTTTTTTTTTATTACTTCTAGGATGTTTTCAAGAGTTAGGTTAATTTTGTAGTAGAAACTCAGGGATCTAGTAGATAAAATGTGCCTGGTATCGATTTCCATTCAGGCAGTGGAAGAATTGATGCTATACTGAGTACTCGAGCTAAAAAATGAAACAGACTTAAAATTTTCTTTGACTTTACTCACGTTGCGTGCATCGAATCAGAATTCCATTTCTAGGACACTTGCAAAATTGAAAACGGCTGTCATTAAAGATTCGGACAATACACCATTGGGTTAATCGGATGATAAAAATAAACATTCTTCCTTTGGTTTTTTTTTAAAATAAATTATTGTAATATACGAAAAATTTAGGTTTTTGGCATTAAGAGTCTAGCAACCCTATGTAATTCGTAAATATCAGTTTCAAACATATTATTTTTTTTACATAATATTCATTATTTTACAAAAATATGGTAAATTTCTTCATCAGTCCTAAGGGAGATGTTTATTTATACAAGGTATATGAAATTAAGTTAAATAGCAGTTTATTATCCAAAAAATTTTCTTTATTTTTATGACACTTCGGGATCATCTTTCCATCATCTAATTTTATTAAATACTTGTCATAAATTGTATTACAATACATTATCTCTAAAAATGCAATAATTTTTTCTGTGTTATTATTATAATTTAACTTATTTATTGAAAAATATTACAATCTGTCTCAAAGGGCATTTATAATAGTGTTCAGAGATCACATTCACACTCTATGTACAATAAATAAAATAAATTATACAGAAAAATAATATATATACAATAAATTTGAATAAAATAACCTAAAAATTAATAAATAAAAATAACACATACATACATATATACAATCTGGCGAGAGAACTCCGAACCAGACTTGTCCCTCCACAGTTGGATTTAATTCTTCTAAATCATGACTCCAGGAGATCCCTTCTCTCTCAACCGCGTCATTGGGGCTAAACCCAGTGGAGATTGAGCAAGAGTGCTTTAGCCACATACACTCATGTCGTGAGTGGAGAATCTGGCCATTGCCAGAACCCCAATATTTACAAACTATAAAAGGTCGCGGGGCCACTGCCGTTTTAACCTTCTTGGAGGATTATAGGGATGGGTGATCCTGGATAGGGATTGTGCAAAGGAATGATGGGTAAGGTTCTGGTGAGATTTGGAGAATTTTACTGGGATAAGGTCTAGGACAAATAGGATATTAAGGTCATGGTGTAGGGTTTTGTTGGTTACATAGAAAGGAGCATCGACTATTGTTCGAAGGACTTTGGATTTTAAGGATTGGATGCGTTTGGCGCTAGAAAACTTTGCTGTTCCCCACAGTTCAAGTCCGTAAGTCCCAGTAGGTTTCAGTATTGTCTTGTACATAAATATTTTATTTTCAATAGAGAGTTTAGATTTTCTATTTAGTAGTATGTATAGTTGGCCGTATCGTCGGTTAAGTTACTGTCTTTTAAGTCTAATATTCCCGTGTATTATTTGTATGTAGTTTCATAGATTATTTTATAAATTTATTCACCTTAGTTATATTGTGAACTATTCTCTAGTAAATTTCTTACTTTAATCGAAGATCTTTGAATTTTGGTCTCTCTATGCATCATAAAAAAAAAAAAAAATTGTTTACTATGTTCCAACTTATATATAATATTACGAATGAATAAAAAAACATGTGTATATATTTTTTCTCACGGTCCTATCCTTTTCCATCGCTTTGAGTTCTCTTTGGACAGGTTTTTGCAATGGAAAGGAGAACGGGGTTACTCGACCTCAACGGCTCTGTTTTTGCAGCCTGCCTCAATGCATATCCAATTACCTGAGTGATAGTGAGGCTGTCCATCATTGCACCCGGAGACCAAAGGAGAAATCCTTGGATCCATTCCCCGTCTGAAAGGAACTGGAATGCGACATGTCGAGCCCTTCTTCTGAAGAATGAGATAACTGATCCATGATCTCAGCCGTGATGCCACACGCAGCAAATGCTAATCTATGAGCGCAGAAAATGTTATTTTGAATTTAAAGTTGATAAATTCACGCGTTAGTTTGTTGAATAATTATGCTAAGTAGGGAATTAAAGATTGGGCGCACATTCTCCACTTCCTACGTACATTATTTGAGTCATTGCCGTGAATTATGATTAGTTATTTTCATTTCATTATTAAAACATTACCTATTTGTGTATCTTACTAATCAAATCTATTTTAAAAATTCTTTTAGAGACTATCAGCTAGCCTTAATTTGTGATCGGAGAAAAAGTCTTTTGATAATTATCGGTCGTAACATTTGAACAATGGCCAACTAGACGGAATAGATAAAACAATAATGTATTTATAGTGCAAAACTCATTAATACTGAAAAGTAATATATAAGATTTGCCAATTGTCTTGTAACAGAAAATATATATAGTGAACTTGAGGAAATTGTATTATATAAATTATGGCTGATAAATAGTCAAGACGCAGTCATTTTTAAGTCTCAGTCATTTTTAAAATTTTTATTTGTGCCTGCGTTTCAACCGAAGCATGTGGGTCATCATCAGGGCTGAACATTGTTTAATACATTCAGAAATATAATAATATAAGATAGATAATGATGAAAAAATAGTGGTGAATGATACATGAATAGCCAAATGAAATATGCAATACGTTATACAAACTAAAAACATACAACGTGTATATCAATTTATAAGAAATGTAATATTTACTCTTACTAACCGTGTTTCGAGAAGAGATGGGCAAATTCTACTCTGAGTACTGAGTACCAAGTATTTTACTCAAATACTGACCTTTTTTGAGTAACAAAAAATTTAATTACTACTTCAGTTGATGGCAAACGATTAACTGAAGTAGTGATTAAGTTCTCAATAGTGATTCAATTTGAGTAAAATACTTAGTGTTCGGTACTCAGTGTTGCATTTGCTCATCTCTGAGTTACTCATGTACCTGGCCCTTTGGTAGGTAATTAAAAGAATCTCTAGAGAATTTTCCAGATGTGGTTGTAAAATAGAAAAGTCAGAGAGAGGGAGTGGTTAACATTTTTGTATGTGGAATACAAATCATTTGATATGTGAGCACAAATAAAAACATTAAAAATGACTATTTGAGTTCTACCAATGGCTAGGTTCTCTTCATGTTGTACATGTCATCTTACCAATGTCACATATACTTGTTGTATTTTCCATGTAATACAGTTGTAAATTTCATTAAAATAAATTTAAAAAAAAATGACTAAATCCTGAATATTTATCATCTATGATATGTTGAACAGTCGACTAACTTTCTTCAATTTCTAAATTATATGGAAACATTGTTGAAGTATCCATCTCCTTTTCTTATCCCAACAGGTGCACATAACAGCCCCTGTTTTGGTTTTTTTCAATTTCTGTCTTTTGCTTTTCTCTATCCTTAACTATCTTGGTTCACCTTCAGCTGCCCTTGGCTCCCCCTCTGCTTCTCTTTCCATCTGGTGTACCCTCGTAAAGTATTTTTGGCATCCATTCTCATTAAATGTTCAAGCTATTTTCGAGAGTCTTTTTTTTTTTATTTATTGAATAGTAAATAGAACAATCTGCCACAATGAAGGGCAATAAGTGCTAAGGCTAAATCTGTTTATTCATACCATAAATCTTCTTAACACATCCATTTCTATATTTCAGTGTCTAGAATCTAGTGCTGGCCGAGATGTTCAGCTTCAGGAAATTCATATTTATTTCATTCATGGTCATATATCTTATAAATGTACTTAGTCTTTATTTTACTCTTTACTTAGTAGGACAAGAGTCCTTGCCCTAGAATAAAGTTTATTTTCGATCTATCTATGTTTACATACATATTATTGCTTCATATTAGCTGCATACACTATTTTGTATTCTTGGATCTTTGGTTTAGTGTTAAACGTATCAGCTAACTAGGAGTTCACTCAGTTCCCTAGAGGTGTATTTCATTAATTTTTTGCGGCTTATATAGAATTGAATCTTAAGATATTATTGTCACTCCCTGTTCGTTACAATGTTTTTAAATCTCGAATTTATATCATGTATTCTTATTACTGAGCTGATCATGTTGCTGAACTTATCAGTAAAGAATGTTTCGCCTTCCTTAAATGGATTATGTTTCACTTGCAAGGGCTTCCGCATTCTGGAAGTTGATTCAACCTCGCTGTTTCATTGAAACATCGGCAATTTGTCTTGATCTCGGGCAGTCCATGAGAATACGTGCGATTTTGTCACCTGTATAATGAAAAGGTACTACAAGACAATTGGATTCATGTCATTATTGATTTTTTTTTCTAATCAGTGATTTCATATTCGTTTCCCTGATTTTTTTTTTTTTTTTTATTTAAAACGAATGTATTTTATAGGATTGAAAAGCTGGGCTATTCTTAACATAATAAAAGAATAAATTTTCCGAACAATTGTCCTCTTCATGCAATTATTGTTACATAAAATACACTCACCAAAAATAATGTTAAATAAACTTGAATATTTATAAGTGTAATAATATGATTATATACAATAAAAACCTTCGTTTATCCTTCTTAACATTTTTACAATCATCTATGTAAATATGATTGGAAAAAAATGTAAGTTATTATAAATTTCTATTTTCTATTTTATTCTGTTACTATATAAATATTTTTTCTTTTCTTGCAGGTACGTATTTTCTCAGTTCATTGATTTAATAGCGTATTTCATCGTTTCGTGAGTATTTTAGTTGTAACCTTAATTTTTATTTTCTGTACTTATTTGTCATCTCGATACATCATAATTGCATAATTTGGAAACTGCAAGTTTACTTATGATGATAATGCTATAACTCATCTGCATCTAAAATTTAGATGTACCAATTAAAGAGGCATAATTTAACATCTTTAAGAATTATGGTATTAATTTATGCTAGTAATATTAAATAATGTTTAAAACCGAATGGAAACCATTGTTGATCTTCAGTTGATATACTTTCAAAGCTGAATTTTCGTGGTATATTATAATAATACATTGTTTCGTGTGGTATTTAATATATAACTTCACAGTTTGATATATGGTTACCCCTGTGATCGATAAAATAATGATAATCAGTAGTAGGTTTTGGACTTATTTTTTCTTATGAACATTTTTTATGAGTGTTTTGGAACCTTCTTTGTCTGATTATTTTACATAATTGTACATTTAGAGGTGATTCTTCGTATTTTGTCGTTATTCGGTTAACAATTAAAATTCATAATGGAATTTAAAAATAAACAACACGGAAATCATGAATTAGGATAATTTCAAGAAAGAGGAACTTCCTAGATTATGGGTGATAAATATTCAGAACGCAGTCATTATAAAATTTTATTAATGCCGACGTTTCTACCCAAACATGTGGGTTATCATCGGGGTGTGGTTCGAGCACTGAAAGTACTGCATACCTTTAGTGCTCGAAACACGCCCTAATGATGACCCACATATTTGGGTTGAAACGTCGGTACTAATAAAAATTTTATAATGACTGGTCCTGAATATTTATCACCCATGATGTGTAGAACAGTCCAATAATTCCTAGATTGAGATTTATTCAGAAATTCTAATAAGTTTTTTAGCGAATGTCTAAAGTCGTTTCCAATTTTCATTTTCCGATTCAAGATTTATCACATATCTTGTACTGATTTAAATTTATTTTGTTTGATGCGTTGAATTACGAATAATCTGATCAACCACCACAGTGCCGTTCTCACAGATTCGTCGCCCCCGGACAATAACCTCATCTCCCCCCTCTCTCTCCCAAAATAATTAATTTATTTCTTAATGTGTTTTACATTATGTAATATTAGAATTTTATTTCGTTAAATATTTCTCTAATACAGTTGCTTTATTAATAGGCTAAAATTAATTATTTTAATTCATTTTGTTTTTTATTTACTAAGAACTGTCGAGCGACCCAGATGATCGACGCCACCAAAGGGCGTCCAGTTAGGTGCCTCAGGGCATTAGCCCGGCACTGAACCACCAAGCACATAGTTTTGAAATAAAATTCTCTATTTTCCAATGAAACGTTTCGGAGAGGCGATGTTTTCTTTTGTGACCACCGAGAAAAAAATTGACAAGTCACCAATAATCCTAACACAAGTTAGGATATTATAGTATAATATCCTAAGTCATATATGTTGTGTACTTCAAGAAAGTATAAATTAGTTCATATTTTCTGTTAAAATATGTGACAGCACCACTTTTATATTTTTAAATTGTTCGCAATAAATGTTTGATCCATTTATTCAATCTTCAAAAACTTAATTCAACATAAAAAACACATTTTTATGTAAAACGATCCAGGTAATTAAATTGGAACGGAAAATATGAATCAATTTAAACTCTGTTAAAATAAACAAAATATATGACTTAGGTTATAATACAATTATATCCCCATTTATTCCTGACACATTTCTACATCCTTGCAATAGGAAGATAACGAAAAAAAACATTCTTTGAAGGTTTGGTTTAAACACGATCTTTCTGATATCCATTAATTTACTTGTTAAAGTTTTGGTGCTTTATCCCTATTTTCAAAACATTTTTATTGGACTTAATACAAACTTAGTCACTGCTCAAATTGACATAAAGGAAAACAAAAATCTAGAGTGACTGTTTTTATTAATTTTTGACAGTTAAATGATGTTAAGAAACGTGAAATACTATATTATTTTGATACAATTGATTGTTAATAATGTGGAACGAAATGAAATTGATTGTGAATAATTTATTTAGGTATTTATTTATTCGGGTAGTGGCCATCTAAAATTGCTCCATGGGAACATTGCATACGTTATAAATACAAACGAAGTCTGCAAGTGGTGCGGTCAACTTATCAATAGCGGTTTTTAAAGTACTTGATGCTGGAGTGTTTGTTTCTGGAGACACATGGAAGGAAATACCTACATACACATACAGAGGCTGCCACAGACGATTTATCATTGGAGTGTGTGTTCGATATAAAAAATCTTGACCAGTTGAACAAAATATTTTATTTTATTATAAGTGTTTGTGACTTAATCAACACTAGTACAAACTCTCAGCTTTAGGTCAGGCAAGTTTTCATATGTCCGTGAGCGTACGTGTATTTATGCACAATTTCGGTGCCTTTTAAATATTATTATCATTAATTTCGATTAATTACGATTCTACATGTGCGTTGTAATCTTAAGATCTCTGCTATTTGTTTTGCTTGGTTGTGTTCTGCATAGTAAATTTTCTTTAGTATACATGTATTTTTATTCATTTATGATATTTATTATATAAATATATTTATATATAAATAGTAAAAATATGGGAATATTTAAAATATGAAAATATTTATGATATTTGTTATATAAAAATATTTTTGTTTTTTTCTTCTTATGCTGTACTTATTTACTTATTTGCTTCTACTTATAAAACTAATCCCGACTTAAACTAAATGGGCCAGATTCCATGGTTACGATGTATATTAAGCCAATAAAATGTTTCTATTCTGTTCTTTTATTTAGGAAATTTTGATAACGAGAATATAGGCCAGAAACGATAGCAAGTGTATAAATGGATATTTAAAAGATCGTATTTTTGTCACACCTTCGAAGTTTAATTGTTTAAGCCTACAGAATTAAAAAGTAAAAATAATATGAAAAGATGCTTTAATGTCCTCTTCTTAGTTATTAAATTAGATAATAAATATTTTAACAAATTTATATATATATTTCTCAAATCAAGTTTAAAATCCTTTTAATCTTTAAATTGCTACTACAGCAATATCTCTTGTTGGTTTGTCAGTGAGCTTGGGCACTCCTTGTGGTCCAGAGACCATGTTGGTTCCGTGTGCCCCTCGGGGCTGCCAGCTATTCTTATGGGGTTTCCCCAAGACCGGATGAGCATTTTATCCAACGAACCTACCTTGTTTTTTTTTCTTGGTTCAGGCATTTAGATTACATTATAAATTTTGAGCAAAAACATAGATTTTTTTTCAGGAATTTCTGACAAGTAAAATTAAATATTTTCTGTACCATAATTATTTTTAGGGGCCGCGGTTGTCGAGCTAGTTAAGGCATTTGCAAAAATCGTATATCGCGAAAATTAATTAACAAAAAAAAATTAATAATAAATTAAAATAATCAATTACAAGCTCGACTAAGACCCCTACGACACGGGTCCGACTCCCGCAAGGACTCTGTAAGGATAAGGACTCTCTTTCAACCCGCGTCCATTTAAGTTAAGCACATGTGGAAAAAATTATTATTGGCGAATTATTCGCTCAATTAAAATTCTAAAAATCATAGCTATGAGACAATTAAAAAAAAAATAAAACATATTTCTAAAACTTCAAACCTTACTATTGATATCAAATGACTTTCCTTTGTCGGGAGTCACACAAAGAATCATGCAAAACTCAACAACAGTTTAGAATTCTCGAGCCTGCTATGGTTAAAGTAATGTGTATACGACACTAAACAGAAATAGATTATCTACAAAGAAAAAATATTAGAACAATAATAGAAAAATAATTTATTTTATGCTCGTATGGGACCATAACATTTGAGGTAATTAAAAATATTGGTGGGGAGGAATGGGACAATTTCTAACATGGTGGGGGGAGGAGAGGGGACGCATAATCACTTTAATTCCTACATCGTAATAATTACAATTTATATAATACCAAATTATAGCAAAATATTTTTTAACTATCAAATGTGTTTATTTTCTATAATTCTTTCAAGGAATTCGCTATCATTCAGATTTTTCTATATTTAAACGATGCACATTATGCCAAAAAGAAAAAAAAATGTATAATGTATTATAACAATTGAACCTATGTTTATAAAAAATATGTGCCGAAACCCGGGATCGAACCAGGGACCTTTAGATCTTCAGTCTAACGCTCTCCCAACTGAGCTATTTCGGCTCGTGATAATGGTAATTAAATACAACATGACTCTCAACGGCCTAATATTATGTTTTTAATGTAATAATTTTTTTTATTTTGTTATTAAACGATTCTGTATACAATACGTAACAAGAAAAGATACACAAATTTTAATTTGTTTATTTACATTCTAATAAATATATCACTTCCTGAAAATAAATAGTAAGGTGCTCAATCTTAAGTATAAACATGATTTGAACATTAATGTTTATACTATTATTATTTCAAAAAATTTGATCATATTATCATGAAGTTCTTATATCATAAAAATCTCCAAACCCAACAAAGGAACCAGGTATTAAGTATTTTACTTTCAAAACTCGGTACAGTTATCTGAAATAAATCATTTCGATGTTAACGAAAAATCTATCTACACAATATCGATGTTATAAAAAACTTAGATATTTGTCTCGCGATATTGTGCCAAATTATTTTAAAATCATTCCTCTTCGAGCTGAATTGTTTTTTTAAATATTATATTTTTAAAAACATCAAAGCATCAAGCACATAGACCACGATTTATTGTTTTAATTTATTTGATTTATTACCATCTTCAAAGATTAATTTTTTCATCCATTAATAACAATAGATGTTTTTTTAAATTAAATATTTGATTGAGCACAATTAAGCATAATTAATTAATTAATGCTTATTATCATTACATTAATAATTTATATTGTAGGAAATATCAAATTTTCGTAACAACGTTTTTATTATATTACGACTCCTATTGATTCTAGTTACATGCCGTCTTTTATCATTTCTTCACTTGTTCACTGCCCAAAATTTAACCTTTCTCGTATAATTTATTTTTTTTTATTTTAATGACGTATCTCTTACAGAAATTCAGTCAAGTAGTCGATAATAATAATAAGAAAAAAAATAATTATTAAGTTTAGAATGGCTAAGACTAAATAAATAAAAAAATTTGTACCACTACAACTCATGAAGGGTCTTGGATTCTGTACTATTTAGGAAAAGCAGTTCCTTGGTCTATGGTTGTTCAAGGAAGCGATTTGAACGAGGTTTTTCCCTTAATTAATTATTTTAACCAAGAATAACTACTATATAGAGGCTGGGTGTGCCACAAGGGGTTCTATCTACCCAGAGTGGCCCCACGGCCAATGAAACAGAATAAATAATTTTTCTGCCATGAGACGGGATTCGAACCTGGAACCTTTAGCGTTGGAACCTCAGTACCCTTACCACTAAGCTACCCCACCCCACTCCATTAATAAGAATAAATAGTATACAATCTTAATCAGTTTAAAGGTTTTTCATCATATGACTGCGATTTCGAGAAATGATTTGGTATTATTAATTGCTTAGTAAAGCAAAAATGTTACGACAAACATTAAAAAAAAAAATAGTAATACAAATAATTCTTATAAATTTATATTTTTTAAATAAATGATATTTTGTAGAGCAATAAAAAAAATATTAAAGTTCATCTTCTTAATAAAATAAACGAAATTGTGCCTTGGCGATTGTGACGATTGATTCTCTACAGTGAGAATTTTTTTTCCTACATTCTGCCTAATTCCAAGCTTAGAAGGACATGACTTTTAAATAATTAAACGAGAGCCAGAATTAATGTGCATATAATTTGTTGGGCTGTTTCGTCTTTATGCACTGTCTTTATTTGGTTCATCGTTTTTAAGTTGTCGAATATGGAATTGCAAAATGATTTTTTTTTTTCTACTCTTTAAGAGTCTTAAGCTTTTATAGAGAGAGGTGCCCCTCCCCCCAAAATCAACGGTGCATTCCCTCTCCCTCTCAAGAAATCTTATTGCTCTCTACTTTTTAATATCGATGAAAGAGCAAATAGAATTAAAAAAAAAAAAATGTAGATCATATTCAACTATACCTGCTGTTTCAACTGCCTCCCGCAGTGCTACGTCCTACGCCCTGATGAAGACCTGCTAAGTGGGTCGAAACGTCGGAAAAAAAAATTAAATAATACTATTTCTATAATTTAGTATTTATTTGACCGCAAACCCCCCTCCCTCCCGATCAACTCCTTCTCATACCTGCTGTGGTTTGTTTCATTTGGTCTCCTTTGTTCCATGGTTTGAAAATTCCTCCCTATTGGAGTAACACAAAAAAATAGTTCCGTCCTAAAATTTGTAACTTCGTCAAAATATGCTCCCCTAAATAATTCAAAAACCCTGAAAATGTTTCTCCTAAAAAAATTATGCTGCGCCATGAAATTCCTACCCCGCTGCATTTCCTTTATTGCCTCAGTGCCTCCACGACGGAGGGTCCTTCAGTTGGAACCCTACCTGCTCTTTCGTCACCGCTACGCTAGAATGGATGTAATGAATAATGTAAATGCAGTGAATGGGCTCGTTTGTGTTTTCCAGGAAGCGCTTGCTATCGGTTTGGATCTGGTTCGGATTGTCAAGTGGAAATTGGGTCGAAATTTAAATATATTTCTATCACTTTCTCGAGTTTTACGTTGTTTTTTTTGGAGGGTCGTTCTCCTCCATCGTTTGTTTTTACTTTTTTTTTCCTTTTTCCCTCCGTAACAGTTGTAAGTTTGATCCATTGAGTAGATTCACTTTCTTTTATTTCTCATGTTTATACTCTATCTTTATTTCTTGTATTAATTTAATTTATTAGTATAATACGCAATAAATTAATTCACCACGACTTTCTCTATTGAATTCTGAGATTTTTTTTGTATTATCATAAATAATAAAAAGACTTGAAAAAAACTTATATTAGAAATCAATAGCAATCTTTGTTTATACCATATTCCTCTCTCCTAAACATACTTAACTTAATCAAAACAGTGACCTAAAAGATATGGCCTTGCACATTCTTCCATTTACGTTTTGGTCATTCGTTCTATATTTCAGTCTGACAACTTCTATACACCCATTTTATGACTAAGTAATCGGTATCTTCATTGTTTCCATTGTTAACTGTACATATAGTTATATCAAAGTCGTCCGTGTATTTCCGTTCAAAACCATTTTTGATCTAGAAATACTTTTCTAATTACTAGTGCGTATTTAATAGAACTGGATAATTTTGTTTGAAACATAGACATACGTAATACTTCTTGAAAGAAAAAAGGTATATGGATATGGAATGTGTTGGTTGCGCAAAGCATACCTATGCGTTATTTTCAAATACCTTTAGATGTCATTCTTCTTTTAATTCTGGATGTCACTCCACTCCATAATTCCAATGCCCTTCTACTCAGATGCAGAAATATCATTTATTACTTTATTTTAATATTTTTTTCAACATCGTTTATTGAGTAAAAGCTATTACAACCTACCACGTTCAAAGGTAATCGATAATTTCGATGGATAAAATTAAGAAAATTTAAAAATATAAATGCAATAAAAATGTTAAAAGTTTTGCTTCTGGATGTTTTATCTATAATTGGTTTTAGAGACACGTCCTCCGCAAAACACGTCCTCATGAACAAAACTTAAACTGCATTGTCTAAAATACTTCAAAAAACTGAAAATGTTCCTAATCCTACATACATAATAAATACACCACATTCTACACTCCAACTATTAATCACTCTAATTCACTTGTTCTTTCTCTTTCTTCATCCCTGTTATCTAAAGAGCCTTAAATATGATTCAAACGGCAGTGGTCTCGGGATCTGCCCACAATATATATAATATTCAAGAAATAGCAGACAAAATGAGCACATTTGCTAGATGCGTTGCAGCACAGTTGCAAATATAATGTAAAATAAAATAAATAAAAATCTCTAATAAAACTCTATCCAACCTTTTTCCATTTATTTAAAGGGCAATCAGCTGGAATTGAATTTCAGAACACAAATTATCCACTGGATGTGTTACTCCTAAATCTGTTCGAGGTCTATTTAAATCTGGATATTTCGGTTTATTACTTTTATGAAACGAACTGAACGGTTTCTAGTAATATTAATTGATATTTCTTAAATGTTTCTTTCAGTGAATCA